TCCATCCATCCATCCATCCATCCATCCATCCACCCACCTTTCCATCCATCCATCCACCAATCCACCTACCCACCCACCCATCCACTCTTTCTTGAATTTCTCCCTGTGTAGAGTTGCTAATATGCAAAAAAGTTGACAGGGTCCCTTCTTACAGTTTGGGTGAGGCAAGAAGGAAAAATCCCCAATCCACGGAGGGGAGAAAGCAAGCCAGCCACTGTGCAAAAATGTGCCTCCAGACCATGCCCTCTCAGCACTAGCTGAGAGGTGGGTTCCACAGCCTTCAGACTCTTGGTGCCTCTTAGAGAGGGCTCGTGGGGGAGGAGGTGGCATTTGGTGGATGGAGAGGAATTAGCCAGAGGATGCATACCCTCCCCCAGAAGTCTTTACAGCAGGATGCAGAAATGCAGATGCACACAGGGGCCCAGCTGGAGCCCAGCTCTGGGAGGCAGGCTGTGTGGGGGAGAGCGGGAGAGGGAAGGACGAGTTAGCAGGGACTCACATGCTCTGCCTAATTTGGATGGCCTCTGATTACTTCCAGCCAGTGTTTCTGGGGCTCGTTTTTCAGAAGAAGCAAGAATCTAGTATATTATGGGAAATTAGCAGGCAACCGAACTTGAAAAAAAAATTATTTTAACACTGCACAGACCAAACAGACCATCCTTAAGTTAGGTGACTCAGCCTGAGTCACTAGATTGTAGCGTCTCCCTTGAACACTTGTGGAGAGCCTTGCCGCAGGAATACCGCCACCAGCCCCTGCCCCGGGCCTCCAGGGTGAGAACCACATGCTGCCTGGGGTGGGGGTGGGGGTCCTGGGGTACCAGGCTGAGCCATGGGCTGATTCTGGACTTCGTTCTCTCAGACGCCAGTAGAGAAAATGTCCTGTCAGCCCTCACTGGTACCTTAGAGTCCCTGGCCAAAGCTCAGGGTGACCACGCAGCCCTCAGATTCTTCTAGATTGAAATGTTCCACTCCTCTCTGACCTGGCTCTGGTTCCTTCCCTGTCTCTCCACAACCCCTCCATGACCGTGTGGGGACAGCGCCCCATGTCCCCAAATCTTCCACATGGTCAGGGGTATACTTGACGCGTTTCCCACTGCCCAGTATTTCCCGCCCCTAGCTCCCCTGCCCACTCCTCGGGGAAACTCTCAGGGGACAGTAATCCATTATAGCATTTGTTTGTCCACTTTAAAAGACAGACAGACCGCCAAAACTCCATTTCCTGTTTTTTAAAAGGCCAAGACGGGCCAGGCCTGCTCGTGGGTGCCCCCTAGTGGCATCTCGTCTCGTCTTGCCCCCTCACGCCCCAAGCTGGAGGAGTCCTGGTGGAGAGCAGGGCGTCTCAAAATTTTCCACCTCGGGCCCTCTTTACACTCTTTAAAATTATTAAGCACCCCAAAGGGCTTTTGTGCAGGTTATAGTATCTCTATTCACAGTATTAGACACTAAAACTAAGAAAAGTTAGAAACATTTATCAATTCATTTAAAAGAAACCCATTACAATTTTGACATAAATAACATATTTTAGAAAAAAACTAATTGTATTTCCCAAAGCCAAAAGCATTTGGCGAGAAAAATATCATCATTTGACCTTTTTGCGACTTTCTTTTAAATCGGATTAATAGACCAGAACTGGATATACACATCTCCATCTGCATTCCATCAAGTTGCCGTCTCACACGTCACGTAGTCTCTGGAAAATTCCACAGAGAGTGAAAAAGGCAAATATTACCTGAGCATTATTATGAAAATAATTTTTACTTTGGAGCCCCGGTGGTCCCCGGACTGCACTTTGAGGACTGTTGGTTGGTTTGGGGGCAAGAATATGATTCACTGTAGCCAGACAGCACGGGGAGGCTGTGCCTCAGGTCTGTGCAGGAACACGGGAAACGTGGGCACTCAGCCCCTGGGGCTCCTGTTGCAGTGAGAGCCAAGGTACCCATCTCCCCCCACCTCCCCCTGGAGCAGGCTGGCTGGGTCCTCCTAGTCCCCGAGGAGGCTGGATTCTGGCTGACCTCCGCCATTCCCTTCACGAGCCTCCTCCGGAACACAGGATGAGAACAATTCCTGTCTCACAAGATGGACCTGCTGCAAGGACCTCCGAATCTCTGTGCAGTGAGGCCTTGCAGTGTTGCTGCCGATGAGGGAGGGGCCGGACAAGACAACCCTAAATCTTCCTCAGTTGTTTCTTGATTAGCTCGTTGACTACTTAACTGAACTATGAAGTGCTTGCCGTATTCTAGAAGTTCCGAGGGAGTGCGTGGCCCTCCCGGGAGTTAGATGACCTGCTCTGTGGGCTGTTGCATCCGCTGTGGGATGCTCCCATCATGCTTTGGGGCATTCCCACCTGCTCTCTTGACTTCCCCCTGCCTTCTCTGCTGGGGGCACTTTCACTTCTTGCTGCCTGTTTCCTGACCCGTGCTCTGGGTGTGCTTCCCTCATCTGTAAAGGCGCTCGTTCCTATGTGCTCTGTGAGGGTGCTCCCTTCCCTGTGGGGGGCATGCCTATGAGCTGAGGACACTGACCCATCTGTTCTGTGAGGGTGTCCCACCTGCGGAGGGAGGGAATCCCAGGCTGCTGTCTGGGGAGCACCCATCCTTCTGGGGGAGTGGTTGCACCCACTTGATGGGGAAAGCGGGCCCACTTGCTCTGGGAGGCTGGGTGTGCCCAGACGTGATGTGGGATAAACCCCCTGTGCCCTCCATCCCTGGAGATGGGAAGATCCCTAGCTGCTCTCTGGGAAGAATTTCACCCCTCTGTGGAGGTTCTCCCACCTGCTCTGTGGGAACAAGAGCATCACGTTGGGATGGGGGAGTCCAGCAGGGATGTGAGGCTCCTCCCCCTGGTTGGGGAATGGTCCCACCTTAGTGCCGCCATGACGGAGGTGACACCCCTCAGCTCTGTGCTATTGCATCGGTCTCGGTCCTGGGAGCAGAAGTGGCGTCTGCCTTGGGTCCAGGGAGTCACAGGGAGATCCCAGGGCTGTGGAGCCTTCCCAGTGGGAAGGACCAAGCCTGAATGGGGCACACTGCTGCCTCCTCCCCCACGCCGAGCACAAGGGGAGCATCCTCTCCTATCTACACAGAGTAGACCTTCCAAGGACTCTTGCCTCCACGGACACACTGAAGCTCTGTCAGATTTGGAGGCAACAGAGATGATAATTCCCCTTATCTTATAAGGGGGGGAAGTGAGGCTCAGGGAAGGACGCTGACTTGCTAGGACCTCACAGCTCCCCGGTGACTGGGGCTAGAATCCAGACTTAGCATTTTATCCTGCAGGGAATGGGGAACCATTAAAGGTTTTTGAGCAGGGGAATGACAGTCTGATTTCTAGAAGATGACTCTGGGGGTGAGCTGTCACCCAAGGGAGAAAACAAGACAGAGAAGGTGAAGGTGGGGGTGCAGCTCCCCCTTCCTCTGCGGCTGCTCTGCCCTTGCCCTGTCTGTACACGGAAGCCATCCCTTCCTTGGGGCTGGCCCGTGCGGTCCTGAATCTGTCTGTGTCATCCCCAGGCTGTGTGGCCTGCGCACCCTGCAGCCCTATGCCGAGAGGATCCCCGTGGTGGCCACTGCCGGCATCACGGTCAACTTCACGTCCCAGATCCCCCTCACTGGGCCCGGCGTGCAGGTGCACTACGGCTTGTACAACCAGTCTGATCGTGAGTACGAGCAGCCCGGGGAGCGGGGCGGGCGCCCCTGATGCCCCTGCAGCTTCTCCCTGCCTCCTTCCCATCCCCAGAAGCACCGAGAGGCTGGACCAAAGGACTGTGTGTGTGTGTGTGTGTGTGTGTGTGTGTGTGTGTGTGCGCGTGCGCACGATACCTGTGGCTCTGTGTGTGCCCCCATAGGCAAGGCTGTCACCTGTGTTCAGCAGGCATACACACTCATACAGACCTGTGTGTGTGCTGCGTACATGGGACATGTCTGTCTACATGCACCGTGCAGATGGGTGTGTGCACACGTGGGTACGTGTGTGAGCACGCAAGAGCAGCATGTCTGCACGTGTCTGCATGATGACGCGCATCCTGATGGCGCCCTCCCTTGCAGCCTGCCCTGGAGCGTTCCTCTGCTCTGTAAACGGACTATGTGTGCCCGCCTGCGACGGGGTCAAGGACTGCCCCAACGGCCTGGACGAGAGAAACTGTGGTAGGCAGCCTGCCCGACCTGTCCCTCCTCTCTCCTTGCCTTCTCTGTGCACCAAGGCGAGCCCCCCTTTTTGAATAGAGACATCCCCCCACCAAACGTGCAGCTCCTCTCATCAGCACCCAGGAAGTGGGCTCTCTCGCTGTGCTGAGATGGCAAGATGGAAGCACCGAGTCGGAAAGTGGGCTCCCCAGGGCCACCATTTGGGGAGGTAGCAGGGACAAGCTGGGGACCCAGGTCTCCTGACTCCCAGCTCCCAGCTTCTCCCCACCAGGCCATCATGCCCAGCCTTCTGTCCCAGGCAGCTGTCCAAGAAGGAGCAGAGTGGATGGAGGACCAGGAACGGGAAGGCAAGCCCTGTGTGGCCAAGGAGAGTCCTGTATCTTCCTCCCTTGAGGGGGGTCCCCAACCCTCCACTTCAGGGGTTTGGACTGGAGCTGTCAACTCTTCCTGGAGTTATGCTCGCCACCGCCCAGCCCTGGCAGCAGGGGCCCTGGTGGTCTCCGAGCCAGGACTCTCTTAGAATAATGCCTCTCCTTCTGAGTCCTGGCTTTTGGCCCCCACATTCACCATCAGGGCAGCCTTTTCTTGTCTGACCTCCCCCAACCTCCCCAGACCTCCCCCAACCCCATCCCATCCAAGTTTTAAATACCTGGGGAGAGAAGCAGGAGGGAAGGGAGATGTGCTGGGGAAGGTGCCTCCTATTTGGAACTAGAGCATCTGGCTTCAGGTTCTGGCTCAGCCAAAAGGCCTTGGACAGGTCATTTCATTTCTGTTCCCACCCATGAAACAGGGGTATCTCACAAGGTTGCTGTGAGACTCAGGTGTAAAGTAGCTAAGAAAGAGACTTACGGCCCTAGCATAGAATACAACACACGTGCTACAGACAGCACGAAGTCCCAGCCCGGCTCCTCAGGCTTCCTCTCACCTGCCTCTGTGTGTCCCCACGCAGTTTGCAGAGCCACGTTTCAGTGCCAAGAAGACAGCACGTGCATCTCACTGTCCAGGGTCTGTGACAGGCAGCCTGACTGTCTCAACGGGAGTGATGAAGAGCAGTGCCAGGAAGGTAGGCTGGGGTAGGACCAGCTATCCAGAGGGAAACCAAACAATGGGCTCAGCC